ATCGCCTTTGGCTTGGATTTGGATAGGATAAGGGATCCGTGCCACCTGGCTCGATACAAATGTGTTGGCTCGGATAATATAATCTGAGTCAAGGTTTGACGTGGACTTTGGCTCTCATTCTGCGAGTCGATATTAGCTGTCAAACCCACTATAATTTGGCGTGGACTACTTCTAGTTCGGAGTTTGGCACGGCTAGTGCGATGCAAAATTGGCTTCGATTATTACACTAATTTGGATCGGAAACTTGCCGAGCCAACTTGGATCAGAAATATTCAAGCCAATTTTGTCGAATAACGGATATATCTGAGCCAAATGATCATCCGGTTTTAACTACTTGGCTAGGGTTTTTATCCAAGCCAAAAGTATTTCATGTATAAAAAACGTATACAATACTTTCCTACGATATACTACGAGTACGTTTTTTTATGGGAAAAGTGTCAAATAGGCCCCCTACTAATACGAAAAAGACATTTAAGCCCCCGAACTCAAAAAACACTCAATTAAACCCACGAACTATAAAAAACGAGGCAAAACAACCCTTTTAGCATGTAATTAACCGGTTCCCAGTTCCATTAGTCCACGTGTTGCACACGTGTCGCCACGTGTCGCCATTTGTGGCCACCTGTCGGCTGTCGCCACGCGTAAAGGTTTACTTGGAATCGGTTAATTACATGCCAAAAGGACTGTTTTGCCTCGTTTTTTATAGTTCGTGGGTTTAATTGGGTGTTTTTTGAGTTCGGGGGCTTAATTGACTTTTCCGTATTAGTAGGGGGTCTATTTGACACTTTTCCCTTTTTTAATACATGTTAAAAACATTTTTTGGAATGAAAAGTTAAAAACATTCATTAAAACAGAAGAAAATTATAGGCATTCAACACATGCAATAAGCAGAACCGCAAACATACAATATAATAACAGTAAAAACAATAAACTGTCCGAACAAATTTGCTAACATTGCCATTACAAATTGTCCAAAAAGCGTCAAAGTAAAAAGTTGCCCATCAAAGTTTTACATAGGGTAAGTGTTGCCCGCGATGTCATTAAAAAGATCATCCATTCTTACTTCATTAGAGTCATTGAGGAAGTTAATTTGGACAGGGGTGGGTGTTCGGAGACCGGAAAAGTCAGGCATCGGGATTGGCTGGTTCGAGCTCCGCACTTGCTCCAGATATGCCATAAACGCTACTGTCATGTTACTCATCTGCGTTTGCCACTGCTACTCGTGTTGGGCAAAGCGGGCATCAACTTGCTCCTGGATGCGGGAATCCATCTCCTCCTGTGTTGGCCCTGTGATTCGCTTGAACAATCAATGTCGTTGGGCAGCACTTCAGCTTCGGACTGTATTGTTCACAAAAGTAACCAAATTTTGAAATAGAGTATAATACTCAAGGCGTATATGTCTCATTAAAACGAGAGTGTTACCTTAATTAGTAGGATTGGGAGAAGAGGGGGGGGCACATTGATGATAAAGTATATTATATAGACCCCTGGTCTGCCGACCATTGGGTCTGGACACCAGCCCAGATACACGGGTGGAAAATATTCACAGTATTGTACATTATTAATATTATTCAGGTATTCTAGATTAAGTTTTTATATTATCAGTCATTTTAGATAACTTGGTCTGTCGAGCCATATTAGAGGCCCAGATCCGGATTTTCCTTTATATACCCCTTATAAACCCTAATTCCTAAATAAATTCGTTCATAATACAATAACACATTCATTTCTTTCTCTTTTGTCTCAATCTCTCCTAAATTATATAGTTTGGATATCACTGTATCCCTCATTTGATACTTTCATTGAGAGATTTGAACAAAATCAATTGAGACTCCTCCCTAAAATATCCAAAAATTCATCCCAATCACAAAAAATCACAAAAATCAAGCCAACGATTATTCTGCAAAAGAAAAAAATAATGACAGAAAAGTTGGATAATTCCAAATCTGAAAAAATGGAGAAGTTGGTCTGAAACTCTACGGGTCGGAGTAAGCAATCGGAATCGAGGCTAACCACTAGTGACAACGCTACAATAGAGTCGTTCTCTGCAGCGAATTTGCGGCAGGAGATTCCGCCGCCGATCTACACACTTTGGTGCTATGTCACATGTCGGTCTACTCAACGTGCAAGTCCAAAGTCGGAACACGCATCGAAGTGTGACTCAAGGTACGGACGTTGTCACCTCCACCATGGCACCGCCTGCTTCATCCATGGCTTTCCACCACGCATTGCGCTCTGTTGCCGCTCAACGACCTGTTACAACGTCGCTAGGTCAAGGTTGCAGCAGGAGATTGCCGACCAAAGGTCTCTTCACCACCTGAAGAATCAGGAGAACACGACCTATCTCAGGCAACAATGGAGGACGGTCTGTTCGACTGTGGCAGTGGTATACAATTTTCTCTCCTCCATTGACGCCGACTGTTCTCAGCTTGGCCAACAGCAACTCCGACCACGCAGCCTTGCCTTCGTGCAACGGCTATGGCCAGAGGACTCTGCCTTTTCGTCGGCATGGAGGACAACAAGTATCTCCCTTGCACCTGTTCGATATATTCATCATTGGAACCTGCGAAATAACGTTAGGAAAATAAAGTGACTCGAGACGCATCATACGCTGTCCTAAAGAAAGTATTTCCGATGACCTGAAATATTCCCCCAAGATATAAAGAGCCCTTCGGCGAATTTGCCGGACACAGAATCTACGAGGTAATAGTTTTTGTATCGCTCGCAACCCAACAGGTTGTTTATACGTAGTATATATAAAGTAGTATACGTATATGAAAGCTTCACATTATTAATATGGCTACGTAAGGTGGTTAGTGTATCTCTCGCAAAAGATATGTATAAAACAAAGCACTAGCTAGCCATTTAAATAGTTAGTACGCAGTAACTAAAATATGTTTTGTTGTTGTGGACACTTGGTGATCCACGAAGGTAGGAGAACTACGTGGACAGGCGGGATAGCCATGCACGAAAGCACGTTAACCAACTTGCTCATTCAACGTTGGTTTAAACAAAATACCTCTGTATAGGAAGTGTTTAAAAAGTTATCCGCACTAACTCACTTGTTCAAAATATTAAAATATTTAAATTTGAAAGAAGTAAGCTTACCCAAGGAAATTTTGGCCAGCAACCAATTGCACATTCCTAGTTTGGAAGACCCATTAAAAATAGTTTAATCATAAACTAATTAAAAAAAAATTATTTGAAATACAACATAATTTTCCAACAATCCCCCACATATTTCAAATAAACATTTGAGGTTAAAAAAATAATTTTGAAAATCTGCTGGATTAACGGGAATGAGACTTTAAGTGTGGTGTCCGAAGACTATGAACCAAACCGAGATGATCAAATCTTTACAAACCGAGCTTTTGGTGAAACATATAGTTTCTATGAACCAATAGGCTACTATGATAAGTAAGGGTCTTAATGGCCATGTCTCACTCCCCACAATTCCTCGCGTTAACGTCATGGTGCGCCTTTAGGCCATGCACGTGCTTGGTATTCTTGAGTGCTCTAAAAGCGTTCTCAATGCTTCATGGAGGCGGCCCCCACCTCACACTCATATAGGTGATCTCATCAAGTGTGTCCTGCACTTGACACAGCCGTCATAACGCTATGAAAATCATTAAGTGCCTTAGCTCAGCCTCTCAAAGAATGCAGTATAGCCTCACCCTAGAAATGAACATTTAAAATAGACTAGCAGAACAAATAGCAGACTTGTTATTACTCATATGAACCTGCTTCATGGGATCTCCAATCACACAAGTTGGGTTACCATCCTTATTTGTTATCAAGTGACAAAGTTCATTTCCCTCGGTGTATTGAATATAATATCCTAGGATTTCGGCCAAAGGAGACTTTGGACTCCACTCGTCATGGTTATATGACAACTTTATATTTCATATGGTATTGTTGTATACGTCTATACAACAATATAATTTCAAAATTATATCATCATTGTATCACTATAATACAATGGCATAGCTCACCAAATACAGATTTTTTTTTGCGTTTATACAATTTTGCTCAATCTTCCGACATCAAGCCGAGTTTCACATAGTTTGTTAGTTTTAACAAATTCACCATTTGAGCATCAAGAGTAACATATCTTAATCATTAATATAAGACTAAAATACTTGTCTTATATGTAAACTGAAATGGTAACACAGTTGTATAGTATCCACGATTCTAGGAGATAATTTCATCCCTTTCAAAATAATACTACATTTTGAATATAAGTACAGAGTATAACATTAATCTCACTAAGTATTACAAAATGCAAATAATTATCCAAGATACATGCGGATAACATGAGAATATTGGGTTATCATGTACGTACAATATCAAAGCAACCTCGCTTAAATTTTACGAGAACAACTGCACAACTAAACTACGTAACCATGCATAAATACGTAACTAAATACGAAGTATTACGTTTGTAGTAATATAAATAATTTAACATGTGTGGAAACTAAACTCCAAAGTTTGCTAACACTGTATGCTTGTAACAAATAATTAAGCCACCTCAATATAAAGCTTACAAACCCAGAAGGAATTACGCATGCATGCCATATAGACTAAAATGGTACATGCATAAATTTAAAAACCCAATAGAAAAACTCCAGAGCAATTACTTAAAGGCAAATATAATTAAAATAAAGAGATAAACAATGAGACTATCCCAATAAAAAGTAATCAAACAGATTTGTATTGCCACTTAACCATGCATGTGAAATAGCCAATGAAACAAACAGATTTCGTAATAATCATGCGAATTGCCCATAAACTTCGACAAATGCAATTACGTATAATAACATAGTCAACCAACAAATACAGAATTCACATATTACATATTCACATATTACATATATGACACCGTAATTATTAAAACCAAAATTAAAAAGGAAACAAAATGAAAAATAAAATCATTATGTAAATAACATATTCCAACGTAACATATATTTTATTCTATAGAAAATTCATAATATAATAAAGGTGCGTACAACACTTACCAAATAAAATAGAAAAACAGAATCTAGGTCCTACTTATTAAAAAATAATTAGAAAGCAAATCACTTCAACACCTCTAACACATTCAACATGAAAAGCCCTTGATTACAATAACCTCTTCCAATAAATATATTGTTTTTAGTGAGAACCACCTTGTCGGATTCAAAAGATGCCTTGACACCAGCTCTTCCCAAAAGTGAGACGGAGATTAAATTGGTCCGTATCTCGAGCACACTAAGTACGTCGGTGAGTGATAATGTCTTGCCGGATGTGAGTTTGATATTAACTTTGACATTCCCGTGCACCTTGGTTGTTCTAGAATCACCAAGGTGTATGTACTCCTCTTCATCCCCTATTGGTGTATAGGAGGAAAACACAATTTTGTCTTGCCAAATATGCCTAGTAGCTCCCGAGTCTTCCACTCACTCGTTCACATCCGCAACTAGGCAGGTTTATGAAACAACCACATTTATAATATCATCACCTTCAACTAAGTTTGCACTTGGTTTGGGTTGATTTTAGTTTTTCACAGATGCCCGTTTCCTACACTCACTAGCACGTTGTCCCAGTTTCCCACAAACATAACAATCAGGCTTTCTTTTAAAATGTGTGGTTGTTCTATATTTATTGTAACTGGGCTTATTATTAAAGTGATTATTTCCATACCTCCTTTTGTTTTTCGTCTCCACCAAGTTTGCATTTGAAGTATATTCCTTTGCTTGACACTTGGCATTTTCTTTCTTGTTTGTGTCTTCAATGATGATGTGGGTAATCACATCATTGAATGACATAAGCCCTAAGTCATGTTTGAGGTCCCGTCTATAATCCCTCCAGGACTCCGGCAACTTCTCAATTAGGATTCCGCAATCGGGATGACTTGAGCAGGTGTGTTCGCACCATAATGATATATTCATCATCAGAACCTGCAAAATAACGTTAGAAAAATAAAATGGCTCGAGACACGTTAGACATTGTTCTAAAGAAAGTGTTTCCTATGACCATAAATCTCCCCCCAAGATATAACAAGCCCTTCTATGATTTTGCCGAACACAGAATCTACAAGGAAATAGTTTTTGTATCGTTCGCAACCCATCAATTTGTTTATACGTAGTATATATAAAGCTGTATACGCATATGAAAGCTTCACAATATTAATATGGCTACGTAAGGTGGTTAGTGTATCTCTCGCAAAAGATATGTATAAAATAAAGCAATAGCAAGCCATTTAAATAGTTAGTACGCAATAATTAAAATATGATTTGTTGTTGTGGAGACTTGGTGATCCACAAAGGTAGGAGAACTACGCGGACAACCATGCACGGAAGCACGTTAACCAACTTGCTCATTCAACGTTTGTTTAAACAAAATACATCCATGTAGGAAATGTTCAAAAAGTTATCTGCACTAACTCACTTGTTCAAAATATTAAAATATTTAAATTTGAAAGAAGCTTAGCCGAAATTTTGGTCAACAACCAATTGCACATTCCTAGTTTGGAAGACCCATTAAAAAAATAGTTTAATCATAAACTAATCAAAAACAAATTTTATTTGAAATACTACATAATTTTCCAACACACCTCCACGGCCGCAGACCTTCCTCATTTCTCCAGACCTAGTGGGGGTTGCGGAGAATAAATATGAGCCAAGACCATTCAACAAATCTGCCATATTCTTACAAATTAGCTTTGGCTCAAGGGAATTAGTAGGAATCAGCAAGCTCTTGTTCATTTCAGTCAAGCCCATCAATATTGGCCTAAAGTGATATCGAAACAAAAGCTAAGTGTCCCAAAATTCCTTCATATAATTGTTTGATTATATATTTACAAAAGAAAAACATAAATTGAAACATTAGTAATATAGTATCAAACTTCGATCTCGGGGGGCGAGTCATTTGTTAAAAGCATACGTCTTGCAGATTCGAACTATGAACCTAAGTGGCAAGTTGGGCTACATTATTAATTTAGTATCATTATTTTTAAGTAGTATGTATTTTTTTACATTGAAAAAACGGATTTATAGAATCGATTACTCACTCACACCGTTAGAGTGCTGAACTCTCGCACCAACGGGTCACGTCATACGGGTGTGGCGATTAGTATGCTCTCAATCTAAATGTCATCTAATGCATACTCCAGATTCTATGTTTTGTACAAGTTATGTGTGCTCTCTAACTATCATATTCAAACTCCAAACCCCGAAAGGTAGGTTCAGTCCTAGATAACGACCACGCTTCAACTAAGCATAGAAATCTAGCTTGAACTCTAGCTTTGAATTTGAGGCCACTTAACTTAGGCCCAAATCCAATAACGAACTATAAGCTCTAGAAATTATAACAATTTTATTTGAATGTTTAGGTGCAACTAAATGACGACATCATACCGCCCCTCACGATGTACCACCCAATCATCTTTATTTGATGACGTGGAGCTCAACACGCTCCTTGGTCATATACTCATATACCGCCTAGTCATATTTATTTGATAACTTGGAGCTCATATAGCCCCCCGGCCATATACCTCCTAGTTATCTTTATTTGATGACGTGGAGCTCAACACGCTCCTTGGTCATATACCGCCTAGTCATATTTATTTGATAACATGGAGCTCATATAGCCCCCCTCGGCCATATACCTCCTAGTCATCTTTATTTGATGATGTGAAGCTCACAGAGGCTTCTCGGTCATATATCTCATAGTCATCTTTATTTCATGACCCAAACATCACATTATGGACAGTTGCTCAACCTATCTTTTAGTCATCTTTATTTGAAAACTAGAACTACATATCATGTCTAGCTACTCGCATATGAAGACCCATGTTGGCATCCAGTGTACTCTTTTTCTCTCATTAGGGTTTTTTCTCACCATGTTTTTTCCTAGTGAGGTTTTTAACGATGCATCTTCCCATTGTGGACAAAGGTGTCGACCCTCGGCCCATACAGAAGTCACCATGAGACATACCCTACTCTACTCCTCTTCACCTCATCACTACATTCGCCTCAAGGAGTGAGGGACTGTAAGAGCGGATGAATTAGCACCTCCGTTAATCGTAGAAGCACAAAATTCATTTTTTTTTTACAAAGATTGTCACTTGCATCGTCCGCACTATCACCTGGAAGATTAGCACATAGTTCTACTCTCTTTCGCCTCGAGTACTCTCGCCTCAAGAAGTGGGGGACTCATGATAGAGTATATTATACTGGACCCCTAGTTTGCAGACTATTGGGCCTGGATAGCGGCCCGGATACACCGCTAAATAATACTCACATTATTGTACATTATTATTAAGGTAATCTAGATTAGCTTTTTATATTATCAGTCCTTTTAAGTAACCGGGTTAAATTTGTCAAGCCATATTAGGAACCGAGACCCAGATTTTCCTATATATACCCCTCTTGTAAACCCTAATTCATAAATCAATTCATTCATAATAAATTCACACATTCATCCCTTTTCCTCTTGCCTCAATCTCTCCTAAATTGTATAGTTTGGATATCCTATTATCCATTAGATCAGTTGACTTATGAGTTAGTAACACCTACTCCCTCCGTCCCAAATTGTTTTGCAAAGTCAACATTTTTTGGTCAACCAATAATAAAAGTCAATCCTTTCTATTGATATTTAATTGAATTTTTAATAATTAAAATTTACATTTTCAGAAACTACATTAAAATCTCTCCAAAGTTGAAAATTCCAAATTACAATATAATTAAAAATCGGCATCCTAATTAAGCGAATAAAATGAAACTGTTTGACCAAGAAAAGTCAAATTTGCAAATCAATTCGGGACGGAGGTAGTATATAATAAGCTTTTATGTTATAACTGAGTTCATAACATTCTAAAGAGTCGTAATGTGTGAAGAAAAAGCTCTTGAAATATGTATTTTGCAGTTTACAATTATTTTGCAAATTTAACGTGATTTTTATGTTTACTAAAGACATAAATAATTTCAATCACATCACATGAAACTTAAATATTAATATTGAGAGTATGTGTTAAATACCACTATTAGTAGCAGTGGGAAAGTATTCATCACCATATTAATCAGTATTCATCATTGATTGTGCACATGCCGACAGAGTCTTTAAATATAATTCCAACCTTCCACACTGCGCTTTCACATGTTTTGATTCTTCTAAATAACAGTGAAATTTAATTAGAGAATCTTTTTAATTCAAATAAATGAATACCTATGATACAACATTGTTTTTTAGTGAACACCAGTTAATGTAAAAAATGATAGTTAGAATAAATACTAAACTTTGAGATTAATAAAACATGGTATATGTATAAAATAATATAGTGTGGCTAAAATAATTTATAAGATTTGTTTAAATATTTCAATGCTTATTGATTGATGTGAGTGAATTTTACACGCTGGTTAAATTTGAGATTAGTTCATGATATTTAAAACATAAATAAACTTTACACTTTAATTTCCTTTTTGGGCAGGTCCAAAATAAACTTTACACTTCTATTTTTATTTTTAGTAACCTTTAAATATAACTTTACCTTATACCCTTACTTTACTGGACTGGGGTCCTCTGCCACAGGGGCAGAGTGCCTTGCGCGTAGGGGACCGTCGGATGGGAGAGGAGAGGCCTCAGGATCTGCACTTCAACATCTCCGACCGTCCATGTTTTGATCAAATGGTTCCCGAGAAACGGGCACCGTGCCTTGCTTTGAAGTGTGGTAGAGGTTCGGGATTCTACTTTATTACCTACTTTACACCCAATTTTCTCTCTCCCACTACACATAATCTACTTTTTGTAAGAATATGATGGAAAAGTCAAAAGCAAAAAATTCACTTTCTTAAAAAATGTAAAGTCAAACTATGAAGTTTACTTAGGCCCGGAGGAAGTATTAGTTTTAACATTTCATTACTAACTTTAACATTTACATTCCAGATTAAAGGTATTATGAGCCTGTTTGGTAACTAATATTGTAAGATTATTAGTCTTATTTGTCATTTTTGTTTTTCAAACACAAAACTTTTGATTTTGTGCGCTGAATAATATAATAATCAACACAATTAAGTTTTAAATTAGTTTTGTGTATGGGTGTGATCGGTCCAGTCTGGGTCTGAGTTTTGCTAAATCGAGAAATTACCCTTAATCTCTCAAGTTATGAAAATTAAGGACCGAACAAAATTCGATATATTCGGTTCGAGTTGGATTTTTAATAGCTTAGGTTCGGTTTGGGTAGGGCCGGTTAACGCCCAAATGAGAAATCATCACCTTATTATTTCATTATTTATAATCTATTTTCAAATTAAATTACTCAACAATATAAATTTTAAACATTAAAACAAATGTTAGTCTCCAAAATCACCAACAATTCAAATCCAATCAAAATAGTTTATTTGAATTTTGTGTTTAAGATACACAAAAATGAATTAAAAAAATGAATAATTTCTTGTTCAAAAGCTTGTCGTCATCATAACTAAATTTCTCTCTCTAGGGCATCCAGCCGCTATAGCTCTTCTCTTCGCTCTCGGAATTCCTGAGGTGCGGCTGCCGGAGTTGTTTGGCTCTGTTTTCGTGGATTTTACCTCGCGCGAAGAAGAACACCGAGGACCGCTGGTCTGCAGGGGTGCGGCGAAACTATACCGAGAAGGCAACAATTTTTGTAGCGTGGTGGCTGTAGAACGACGCATGAGGTTCGAAGGTTAGGTCGTCGTATCAGAAGAGAGAATAAAATTAAGCAGTAATTGTCTGATAATCGCACGTAGAGGGGATGAATTTTATTGGAACAGATCTGGTTTCGATCTCGTCTGTGTTAGGTGGCGACAAAGAATGGTTGGTATAGAACCTGATGAATAAGAGGCAGCGTGAGGAAGAAGCTTCGTTACTGCTTATTTTTCTGTTGTTTACTTTTATTATTGTAAGACTCTTGCATTAGGATTAGGTGAGGTTTGGTTTGCTTCAATCGTCTGTGGCACATGTTTGCCCATTAATGGATCAACAAGTTATATTGCTTGTTTGAAGTCTGAGTCTGGTTCGCGGGCTGACAGTTGCATGTGGTTCCTTACTTTTTTTACTCCCATTCTGAATGCTAATGCTTTGATATCAATTTAAGCCCCCTTCTTCCAAAAAAAAGATACAAAAAATGTGTTTAAAGCTAGTAAGAATATATTTCCGTGGTTTCTACGATGTACAAATTGAACATGGTTATAGTCACTAAAAGTTTTTGAATCATTTTTGTCTACATGCTTATACTAGTAATGTATTAGAAAGGGAAATAGTATTGGTATATTCAATGATTTTATATTAAAGGTGATCGTTTCGGGTTTTGACTAGTTCAGACTGAGTTATATATATTTTAGGGACTCTTAGTGAACTTGTTTTTCGTGTCTCATCCGTGTATTATTATTCGAGCCGTATAAAAACAAGAAAATTGAGATATTTTTCAGTTCGGCTAGGTTCGGTTTCTGGATTTCGATTCGGTTACCGTAAAGATCATTATAACTATTTTCCATAAGGTTTTTCTTTATTGATCATTACAAATATTTTAACTAATAATATTTCCGCAAATAAAAAAAGTGGCAAGTCATCAGTTCAACTAGAATTTCACCGGTTTAAATAGATTCAACTCATTCAATCTATATCAATATTATCAAATGAATAGGATTTGAAATGAGTAAAAGGTCAGTTTGGTACTCGAAGTTGCATAAAGAGAGTCAAATAAGTCCTTATATAAGATGCTCTGTCTGGCCATCGCCATTTGGGGCGGTTCGCGGTGGAATTTTTTGACGATTTTTTTTGAACATCTTAGTCATTAAGTCTAGTTTTCTCATACAAAATTTCAGCTAAAACTTCAATCGGGAAGACATTCAAATGAATTCTTGAAGATAACTGTGCAGTTAAAAGCAAATTTATCTTAAAGAATTCATTTGAATGTCTTCCCGATTGAAGTTTTAGCTGAAATTTGGTATGAGTAAACTAGACTTAATAAATACGATGTTAAAAAAAATTTATCAAAAAATTCTATCGGGAACCGCCCCAAATGGCGACGGCCGGACAATAAGAACTTATTTGATCCTTTTTATGCAAAGTACCTTTTACTCGATTTGAAATGTATCAAACGAAATGATTTAAGTGGAAATTACCCGTAGGGTTCACTTTTGTGTGTTACTTATCATTTATAGCCCAACTGTTTTTTTTCTTTTCATTTTCAATCTTTTCTCTTTTCGATTATGTTTTTCTATTTCACTTTTAGACAAAAATTCTGCCCACCTCCTCCATATATCCCGAGAGACGCTCAGAGCAAAATCCCGATTACGGTTTCTCTTCACTCCATCGGTGAAGGAGAGCCGCTGGGAAGCTTGGAGAGAGGCGACGAAATCCAACTCTCTTCTCAATACATGGGATTCCATGGCTAGGATTGGGTGTCCATGGACCTGTTTTAGTCTGAAGATGGAGGATTATCGATCCCCAGCAAGTAGCAACTCGTCTCCCATATCATCTTCTCAAACTGATAGCAGAGCATCTCCCCGGCAAAATCTCGACCACAAAGATATTCTTCTTCTTCTAAAAAATAATTAGGTAAATCTGACCAAACCTTACCGAGTTCATTAGATCAAGTTCCTTACCTTTCTCTGCTTAAATTTATATTCGACTATCACAGATTCCCTCTATCTCCATCGTTTTATGTTCGTCAGATCCCTTTTCTATCCATACTTTTCCGTTTGTTCAGGTTCTCGCTGATTAATTTTTATTTTTATTTTATGCACTTACATCACAATATGGTAATCGGTAAAGCAAGGTTGAATGTGCTTCGTAGAGAAAGTTAAATTGATTGAACGTGTAAATTGATGTAGGTACAATCATAAGCTCTATATGTGTAGAATTGTAAAGCAAGTTTGTACGTGTTAAGTTAAATTTAATCTCTGTTTTTATTTTATTCTATGCACCTATATTTTAAGCTCACTTGATCAAGTTTGTTACCTTTTTTTGTTACTAATTTGCAATGAGGTATTAATAGGGTTTAAAACTAGTTTTAGGTTATTCTGCAAATGTGTAAACTGTAAAGCAGTCCTTACTCCTTACAAAATCTGGAAAATGATAGAAGTTATGTAGAGGAAGAACATTGAGTTTCTGCAAAAATGTCAACAACAAAAGAAGTAAACATGATCAAGCTTTATCATTTGGGTTTGTGGAATTCAAGCACTTGATTACTATCATAATTAATTAGTATTCTTTGCATCTCCACTATATGTATAATTCTGGTTTTAAACTATTTATCTCCCACCCCAACAGAGGAAGTTATCTTCTAATACTCTTATTGATGTATCACCAATGTGAATGAAATTTATTATCACTAGATTTTCATAACAAGCTCATGTCTTCTAAATTACAATGGGAGTAAAAAAAACTGCATTCTATGTCATTTGTGGAACTCATTACGTGTAGATGAGCAATAAAAGTTCTCTAATATTTCCTTTATTATAATTTTATTGTAAAACTATATTGTTATTCATTGGTTTCCTAACCAGGTTTTCTTTGATTGCCACATATTTAGGGGATGAATGTGTTTATATGTTTATTCTGAAGTATGATGCCGAGAAATCAGAAGTAAAGCCAAATCATGTAATACGTAGTACATAAATGCAAGAAACTATAAATAACCTTCATAGGTTTTGATGGGGAGAACGACCTTGGCCTTCACTGTGTGTTATCCGGGTGTGACAGTCTTCGGAAGCTTGAGATTAGAGTCTGTCCCTTTTAGGGTAAGGCACTTCCGGCTAATGTTGCAAAGCTGGAGACAATGTGATCACTTTGGATGTCATCTTGCCCTCTCACCTTCAGAGCTTGCAAGCTGTTAGCACAATAGATGAATAGACTGAATATTGAGGTTATAGAGTATAGACAAGAGGGGTCTGCCGGAGTCATGGTATGAATATGAGTGTGTTCAGAAACTATATGTATGTCGTTCTATTGCTGTCCCGAGGTTTGATATGCCCTTATTTGTTTGGGTGATGGATGAAGAAGCATCTTTGAGGTGCTCTTATTGTCCTCTGGATATTATTTGTGGTTGAAGATCATGAGAGGAGGTCAAGGCAGGCATTTTGGAGTGGCAAGAGGGGAGCCTGATGTTCCTGGATGTGAATTGGAGGAGGGGGTGGTGTTCTCATGCCTATTTCGTTCTGTAGAGCATTTTTAGTAGCTATTCAGAGTAATAAATATTTAGGACAACACTTTCTTCTGTTGTATTATTATTTAGACTTGCCATGTTTGTTCAATAGTAAAAAAATATAATACTAGTACATAAATGCAATAATAATTGTATAATTTATAAATATTTGTTGCAATACTTTTATATTTTTTTGTTGATTTTTGTTTCTTTTTTTGTGTTGCTTTTTGTTGTATTGTGTTGTATTTTGTTGCTTTTTGTTGTTTATTGTGTATTGAGAGTTGTGGTCGATTTTTTATTTTTGTTGTTTATTTAGATTTATATATTTTTTCAACATTGGCATAAAAACAAACACACACAAATAATAACAAATCTGGACTTATGAAATCAACAATAAGAAACATGAATAAACAATAAGAAACAATATTTGTAAAAAATCAACAAAATGAAAAACAAAGAAACAATGCGCAACAAAAAATACAGATAAAAGGCCTCTTTATGATAATTAAAATTTGTAACTATTTAAAAATAACAAATTAAAAATATCCTTTTTTTGTAATTTTTTTAATTTTTTTTACATATATTGTAATTTTTTATATTTTTTAAAAATTTTGAATGTTTTATACCTCTTACACTTTATTCATTTTTTAAACTTTCATAGTGGTTTATTATCTTCAAAATTATTACTCCGTATCTTCTTTGGTTTTAGGAAATGATTTGTTTTTAAAAGTTTTAGTTTTTTTTTAAATTATATATATTTTTTTTTAGTTTTATGATGTTTTTACTTTTGTATTTATATTTTAACTTATATCAATTTTCATTTTTTTTTATATTTTGACAGTTTTGTGATTTTCACATATGTGTATTACCCAATTTTCACATTACCCAGTTTAACTTCTATCAATTTATATCTTATTTTTAAAACCTTTTTACATTTTTTTTTAATTTTTGTACGTCTAAAATTTTCTACATGTTTTCACTTTTTTATACTTCACTGGTTCATTTTTTAAAATTAATTTACATTTTTATTTTGACGAATTTCTTTATATTTTCATTTTTAAAAATTTTCTATTATGTACTTTTATTTTTTATTTTTATCTTTTCGAATTTAGTGTTTTAGTGATTATTTTTGTGTTTTTAACTTTTTTTTTATATAAATATTTCACTTTTATTTCCAGTTTGGATTTAACAAACAAAAAAAGAGAATTCTAAAAAAAACATTAGTATGTGACATGCACGTTCTCTTTGCTTATCAGTACGTATCCGGTATCTCTAAGGAGGCGTTTACTTCACCGGTTATTAAACGGTGCTTATTAAGACCCGTGTTAATAAGCGGTGCATAAAATAAACAGTGTTGTAAGACTGTGTTTACTTCAAACGGTTTAAAACACCGCTTAACATTAAAATGTCCAAAATAACCCTATACATATATACACACACAAACATTCATGAACACAAGTATATAATATAAATGTGTACCCATACCCCCTAACCCCTTACCCACCCTACCTTACTCTGACCCCACCTACCCCCTACCCCTACCCTACCTACCCGACCCTACCCCTACCCGATCCCACCCTACCGCGACCCTACCCCCAACCCCATAGGCCCCTACCCCCATACCCCCTTACCGCATCGACCCCACCCTGACCCCACCTTACCCTACCTTACCCCAACCCCGCCCCTACCCTACCTTACCCCGATTACCACTACCCTACCCAATCCCACCCTACCCCTACCCTACCTGACCCCACTCTGCCGCAACCCTACCCCCGACCCCACCGCACCTACTCTGCCCCTAGCGCCTCTATCACATTGGCCCCACCCCGACCCCACCACCCCACCCTAGGTATAGGGTGGGGGTAAGGGGTGGGGTCGGGGTATATGGTGGGATGGGGTAGGTGGGGTAAGAGTATGGTGGGGTGACTGCGGTCAGGTAGTGGTAGGGTGGGTCGGGTAGGTAAGGTAGGGGTGGGGTTGGGTAGGTGGGGTAGTGGTAGGGTGGGTTCGGGTAGGTAGGGTGGGTTCAGGCGGGTATGGGGTAGGGTAGGGGTAGGGTGAGGTCGGATAGGGTAGGGGTCTGGTAGGTAGGGTAGGGGTGGGGTCTGGTAGGTAGGGTAGTGGTAGGGTGGGGTCGGGTAGGGGTAGGATGGGGTAGGGTAGGGGTAAGGTGGGGTCAGGTAGGTGGGGTAAGGGTAGGGTGGGGGTCGGTTAGGTAGGGTAGGGGTGGGGTAGGTAAGGTAGGGGGTAGGGGTGGGGTAAGGGTAAGGGTAGGGTGGGGTCGGGATAGGGTAGGGGTAGGGTGGGGTTGGGTAGCTGGGTAAGGGGTGGGGTAGGTTTGTGGTCTGGTAGGTAGGGTAGGGGTGGGGTCTGGTAGGTAGGGTAGTGGTAGGGTGGGGTCGGGTAGGGGTAGGATGGGGTAGGGTAGGGGTAAGGTGGGGTCAGGTAGGTGGGGTAAGGGTGGGGTGGGGGTCAGTTAGGTAGGGTAGGGGTGGGGTAGGTAAGGTAGGGGGTAGGGATGGGGTAAGGGTAAGGGTAGGGTGGGGTCGGGATAGAAGGTGTAGGGTAGGGGTGGGGTAGGTGGGGTTGGGGTCAAGGTGGGGTCGGTAGGTAGGTGGGTCAGGGGTAACAATAGGGTAAGGGCAAGGGGTAAATTCGGAAACTGAAAAAGCTTAAAGTGCCGCTTAATTAATACATGGGGGTGTGGTAGGCTTAGTAAGCGGCACTTTAAGCACCTATTTCGGTTAGTAAGCGGCTTTTTAAGCAGCGTGCGTGTTTACTTCACCTGTCTTACTAACCTAACTGTGACTTTAGCAGCGAAGTAAACGCCTCCTAAGGCCATTTCCATTTCTCCGTACAATTTAATGAGATCCGTCCAGTGTCCGTCATTTTAGGCGTTAACTATTTTTGAAAAGAAAAGCTTACTTAGTCTATTTTTGAAATAAATTTTCGAAATTGACAAAAGTGATATTATTTTTACCTTTTGGTCTATTTGTGAAAATTTCCCATGATTTAAAGTGATTGGCCCAAAGTGTTTGATCCGGTCCAATTAGAAAATCAATGCCCAAGATCTCGAATAACCAAACCCTACTTCCGCCTGTCTTTATACCGTTTCTCTACCAATTCATCCGAGCTATCATCTCTCTACCGCTCATATCTCAATCAGACGGCCGTACGCTCTCTCAGTTTGCATATCCTCTTCCCCTTAGGTTAGTCGATTATTACAGTCTGCTTATTTTACCTGTTGTTGAGGTTCGTTCTCTATCTGTTCTTTCATTTAAACGATGAATAATTTTCTAAATTAAGGAGTTGTAATGTAATTGTAATATAACGAACAAACAATACGCTGGCAGTGTTGCCTTCGTACGGAGCAGAACAACCAATATGCTGTGTTTTGTTTTTGTGTGTGTGTGAAAAAGTAAACTATTTTCGTTCAATTTGTGAAGTTAAATGGCGGTTTGACTGTAGCTGTTTTATAATGTTTATAAATGACTCTACATATATGCTTAGACAACTGCTAATTGAGATTTTTCCCTACCTATTAATTTGCTGATGTTTACTTGATGGTATTTATTTAGTTATTTATTTGATTGAAAAATAATTTTGTCTATAACGCTGCACTGCGTTCTGCTAAATTTAGACGTTTTGACCTTGTTCACCTGACAGATTTGCCAAGATGATGAACGATGAGGGACAATTTATGGATCTCTATGTCCCAAGGAAGTGGTATGATCTTATGATATTTTATCAGTTTTATTTACAAAATTGTGCGTTTACAGCATGTTTGTTATGCAAAAAAGAAGAAGAGACTTTTGAGTTTAGGAATAGTGCGGGCCTTAAAGGAAACTAACGGTGCTAGGATTACGATCTTGATGCAGCTCTGCCACAAACAGGCTGATCACTTCAAAGGACCATGCTTCTGTCCAAATCAATGTTGGCCATTTGAATGATGATGGTGTATTTAATGGAAAGTCCACCACTTTTGCCTTGTGCGGATTTGTCCGTGCTCAGGTAAGCTGTTCTTTGGAGTTTGAAACTCTTTTCTCTACCGCATCATTCTTTTTATTTTTATTTGCTTCATGTTTTTGTTTGCCTGATATTTCAAAAACAAGCATGATTTCTAGGAATTCGTCTGCAGTTTTTAAAGTTCAACGATCCAAAAAATTGGTGGGCTTTTGACCCGATGCATATTCTCACTTAGATACCAATTCAACTATGTGATCATAGCTTTATGTTTCCCTTTTGATTTTTTTAAGTTTTTCTAAAAAGGAATAGACATTAGTTTCCCAGAATTTATGTTTTGATATAGTTTTCTGAATTTTGGTGTACTGTGGTGGTAAGGGTGGAGACAGGGGGAGGCTGGAGGGGCAAGAAAAAACTTGTGATGTATATGCCCATGTATACATATTTATGGGCAGTAAAAAATATAGTCAAATTTTAAGCTTTGACTCCTACAACATAAATTCTTTATGTCTGGCCCCCGTAAATTCTTCAACGGTGTTATAGGCCTACAACTGGCTGTTTCAAGTTAAAATTAGCTGTCCTTTCTTTAACATATTTTTGCTGTTGGGATTTAGTTTCAAGTTCACACATTATTAGATTTAAGTACAGCTAATGCATAATGTTTTGTCACCATTATAAAAAGGAAAAAAATGTTTCCAAATCCATTAATTCATTATCTTCTGACATTTTCTAATTCTGGGATTTAATGCTGGAATGTATGCATGCTTACTACAGATTATATAACTTAAAGTAATTGATATGCTTCTCTCTTTATAAAAGTTAGCTTATTTTTACAATTGTAATAGTTTTATCATATGCTTGGCATTTCACTCTATGCCCCTATTTTATATTTAGAACTAATTAAAACTAATAAAAAAGTTAAGATTGAGTGATCTTAAACACACATATTTAGACATCTCAAGTGCATATCAAATGTTACATCCAGTGCTTCTTGTCTGGACTTCTTTTATGAGCAATCACTAATCAATCATAGATCATTCCCAACATTTAGAAGTTTCTGAGCTGTAAGGTTTATATGCTAATGAGTTTCATATTCATATTGTCAATATCTATCTGTCATTAAGTTATGAGTGTTTATATAGTTGCCTTGTTCGTATTATGCAAAGCTTTGGTAAATTATACTGCATATAATACTCTTCTAAGAATAGTAGCTTATGTAGGATTCTGCTTCATTTATGATTTTCAGGGAGACGCTGACAGTGCTGTTGACAGGCTCTGGCAGAAGAAGAGACATGAACTCAAGCAGTGATCACTCCTGCTCTTAGTTTGCATTGAGTTTCCTTGTCAGTGCTATTTGAGATTTACTTCACTATTTAGTAGCTGCAATTAGCATTGTTTGTACCTTTTTTGCGTACTACTTGCCTTGATCTTGGTTTTATATTTCTAAAGACTATAAAGACAGACAATGGAGCACTTGTTTGCGTAGTAAATTTGATTTGAGAAGTTTTCTGCGTGTTATGTCATTCTGTGTTTCTATTTTTTTCTCATAGATTTATTCTGCTGTCCAGACAATGGAGCACTTGTTTGCTAAATGCTTGGAAAAACCTAAAATTCTTTAAAGTTTTATTGGGATTTCTTTGTATCACTCTCTGTCCTCTTTTGGTCCCATTTCCGACCTTTCACTAGGTCTGTTAATATTTGTTTACGAACTGCACCAACCTCAGTACCTCACATATAACTGATATAAGTGTTTACTTTTATGTGGATATAAAGATATACTCACAAGCTAATTGCAAACTAAATTTTAAATGCCACAACAAATGTATTGAGTCACTACTAGTCCTGGACTCGGGCTGGGTTGGGTCCAGGCCTAGGCCTGGGCGGTCTGCTGGTTCTGAATAGGCGGGCCTGTGACCGGCCTGGGTAGCCATTGGGACCGGTCCGGGCCAAGCCGGGCCGGGCCTCGGGTCAATTTTTTTCCTATTCCTAATTAACCTCCTCTCACCCCCAACCCCTCAAACCACCCCAAATGGCCCAAAATACCCAGCCCAATCTTGAAAAGTTAAAAAAAATTGAAAAAAAATTAAAAAGCCCGGAATTGGGCTTAAACCGGCCCCTGGGTGACCTGAGCCTGCACCGGGAACCCCCTGGGCAGGGCCTACCCGGACCGGTCACTGGCCGGGCCAATTTACCATAGTACCGGTCCCGGGCCGGTTTCGGGTCGGGCCACCCAGACCGAGTCCATCACTAGTCACTACCACTTAGGGATGGAGTGATAAACGGATGGACCTAGGTTGGTCCAAAAAAATTGTTTCGGCTTGATGGTTTCAAGTTAAAAAAAGTTGGTCGGTTCGGGATCAGCACCGGGATTGTAACTGCCCGGCTCGGTCCCCAATGGAGTGAACTGGGATTGTGAACTACTCTTGGGTGGACAGAGCCAATCCCAGACTCGTAACCGGAAATTCCTGTTCCTTGGCTGGACCGCTGGATCGGGGCCACCCCTAGTAGGCTAGTAGCACTAAAAGTGTTTTTTAAGTGATTTTGGAAAAAGTGTTTAATAATAAAAGTTGGTAGTAGGGGTAGACTCGGGCCAGGTGGCCATGCCCGGTCACTGTTTGAACCGGCCCGAACTGCCGGCCCGGCCAGGGACCGTTCCGGGTAGGCCCGACTCGCTGGGGTTCCGGGTTGAGCTCGGGCCCTTGAAAAGGTGAACTGGCCCGGCCGGTTCGGGCCCGGTCCGGGCCTATTTATTTATTTATTTATTTATTTATTTATTTTTGAATTTTTTTAAGTTTTTGGGTTGGGCTGGGTATTTTGGGCCATTTGAGGTGGTTTGGGGAGGGTTGAGGGTTAATTAGGAAAAGCCAAAAAAAAAATAAGTAGAATCGAGGCCCGGCCGAACCGGACTCGGGGGTTACCCGGGCCGGTTTCCGGGCCTCCCCTTTCATGATCCGAGGCCCGGCCCGGCCCGAACCGGACCCGGGGTACCTCGGGCCAGTTTCGGGGCCTCCCCTTTCATGGACCGAGGCACGACCGGGCCCAGGCCCGAACCGGGCCCGAACCGGCCCGAGTCCACCCCTAGTTGGTAGTGTTTTGAGAAAAAAATGCTTTTGAAAAGGTGAGTGGACAGCGTGTGATAAAATAATTGTTTTTTTGTACAGTAGAGAGGGTAGTTTAAATCACCTCTCTACTAGCTTTCGTTTTTAAGCTTTATAGTGCTTTTTAAAGTAGAAGTAGGTATTAGCAAACACTTTGGAATGTTATTGTGTGTAGTTTAAAACACCCCTCTAGTGAGAAGTGCTTATTTAAGTGTTAGCACACTCCTTAGCTGTTGTTGGCAATGCTTTCTTGTGGAATGTTATTGTGAGTCTTTGACAATCCACAACTTTTTATCTTTGAAAAAAATCTCCTGACTCTGACAGTTGCCAGCGGTATAAGGCACATTACGCCATGAACAGAAAGGGTGTGAGGGGCAGTTGGGATGAATTAGAGAGAAGAAATTTAAATTAATTAAACAAATCATAATTCTCACTATATAGAAGTGATATTCATGCCATTCATTCTATCTTATACTCCTAATTACCAAACAAACACAAATTTAAACTGTAAAGAAGTTCTAACATTTCAGTACATGCATAAATGTAATAAAAAGTATCCGCCTTTCTGCCTCACATTGGAAGATATTCTCTAGCAATCCTGCCATTACCCCCTTCTGGGTAAAAGCCACCGGGGATGTGTTCATCGCCAGTGTTGTATAAAATCCTCAGTATTTCTGCCGGAGTTCTCTTATAGGAGAGTGATTCAGCATCTTCTGAAAGAACATTGCTAGTCGTCCGATTCTCCGCCCCAAGGATTGGAGGAACAAACAACCCTTCATCCTTGACACCACATGCTGACAGCCGGTTTCTCAGCATTGAAATGCGGATGGTGAAATCGGCTATGGTGTGACGGTACGGATACACCATTCGCGTAGCTCGCTCATAGAGGTACATTCTGATCACTGCGTCTTGCCCTGCTTCATTCCCGAGTAGTCCTGCAAGTAACTGAAAAGGGGGTGATTGTAATTTGGGCAACCATCATATGTAATTTGGTGCAATGTTTTTGGCACTTACCCTCTTTGTGATATAGCCCCTGATGTTAGGGTTTGCACCCACGTAGCCTACCATTCCAACGTATGGAACTACGTATGAAGCCATCATGAAGTTTATGCTATCCCGGTATGGATCGAATGGCGGTTCAAGTTTACAACCTAATGCTTCATCAAATAATTGGGCAAAAGTATTTGCACTGAGGTCCATCAATGGCCTCTTGAATAATCCAACCCTCGACTTTATTGCCCTGCAAATTGAAATTCATTCAAGCTGAGTTACCACCTATTCTTGAGCTTTATCTGAAAACAGTGAACTCTTTCAAAATAGACAATACTTGTGAAACACATGAAAATTTGTAACATATATGTTGCATATCATGACATGACAATTTGAATATATCAGTTTCTTTGATTCATGTTATGACTAGGAAATAAACTGAACGATACACCTCAAATAACACTAGAATGGCAATTTGTATGATGCATCATCACATGTAGATGCAGCTAGTGGGCTAGCTGAAGGTATAAATTAGAATTGACCGATCAAAAACGCTTTCCTAATAATTTTTTGCACATAATTTTATACATGTATAATCAAAGTTTTCTTCAAAAAGACAGGGGACCAACTTAGGACGATGTTGAAGTCCCACACCGGAAAATTGTTACACTAAACTGTAGTCAGTCCATACAATTTTCGATGCGATTGGGTCATACGAAAACTTTCTTTCTGTCCTCTAGTGCAGGGGTAAGACTAGATACATCCCCCTATCCCAACGTAGGTGGGAGCCTTTTGGCACTGGGGTAATGATGATGACGATGAGATTTTATGGTCTAATTTGTCAAAATCTGGTAGGGTCTAAATTGGTCTCATATCGTAAATTCTTGTTTTACGGGTGCTGCTTTAGTATTGTCAAGGTCTGGTTTGTTAAGTTTGATGTGGGACTGAAATCAATTAAAATTAGACATAAGCCAAAATTAGATTGTTTTCTCTTTCCATGTTTCCAATTCACTACAAAATTAAAACTTTGAGATTCTTACCTACTTGTATAGTACAGTCATATATACAAACATTAGACTAATTAAATAACATAATACAATTTGTTTAATTAATAATCAAACCTTAGATGACCAATTTCTTGATTGCAGAACTCTCTTATGATGTTACGAGTGAGGAAATCAAGATTGGCTCTCTTTACGCCTCTCGGGGGCGGGCCTCCGTTGGCCAGCTCCGGGTTAAGTACGTCAATCCCGTAGCCGTAAGCGGCCCAACAGAAGAACTCAGCCTCCAAGAACTCCAAATTCCCAGCAAATTGGATCAAGTCAATGTCTTCTTTGTACACTGGGGTTGAGTTGTTTGGATATCCTGATGGGCAAAGTGGATTAGAAAGGGAGACTGGGAACATGCTTGAGATCAAGATCATGGAAATGGCAAATATTGTGCAAGTAGAGATTGGGTTAATTGTTATGGCCATTCTTTTTTTGGTTAAGTTTGTAATTTGGAGAGGAAAATAGAGGGATTATTGCACTATTAAGATGGAGTAGAAATTGACACATTTATATAGGTGAATCTTCACTAGCACACCTAATCTTAACCAAATGCTTACATAGGTTGAACAACGTGAAGCTCTCACCAATATTGTAAACGTCACATCCCTTGCATGGAAACATATAGCTTTTGTTTTGGATGAGGTTTGGAAATATATCGTTTCTCTTTTAAACTAGTTGACTTCTAGTGTTGGTTTGGACCGTTTGGTGATAAGTGATATCATATTTGTGCTCATAATGAACCTAGTTACTTGTATTTTAATGGGTCTTTTTTAATTTTGATCCATAGGCTGTTTTGGTACTTGAATTGCACGTGTATGTTTGACTTTTTTTTGAGGGTTTTTCTAAAATATTACTAATACAATCCATGAATATAAATGTTACAATAAGTTACTATGCGTAAGTTTTATAGTCAGGGGCGGAGTCAGGACACTAGACCGGACTGAGCCGGTACAAAGAATATTTTTAGAAAAAAAATTACACGAAATTTTTTACCTTAAAAATTTAGCCATTTTTGAAATTTGGGGTGAGTCAGGGCCTAGGTTGGCCCACCCCTAGCTCCGCCCATGTTTATAGTTACTATGACATAACATTTGAATACAATTATAGTTACTAAAGTTATCAACGTCACATTTTTGTCCACTATTTTTTATTTCGGTTTTATATTTGAAAGTATTTCTTTGAAGAATATGACATTTAAAATTCTAAAAACAGGAATTTTCCCCATCAAGCCTTGAATCAAAGTCAAGGATATAACCGAAGTTTAAAGATCGTAAAGATCGTCTTTTCTTAAAAACTTCCTCAATTATTTTAGGTGAAATTCATACTAATAATCTATACTTCTACCCGTTCTACACTAATAATCCATACCTAAAATATTGATGCAAATAATCCAAACATGTAAATAGATTCACATAAGCATATTAAATGAAACGAGGTAAGGGTCAGATTGGTACTCGAAGTTGTATAAAAAGGGTCAAATAAGTCCTTACTTTCTGGCCGTCGCCATTTGAGATGGTTCCCGGTGGAATTTTTTGATAAAATGTTTTGAGCATCTTATTCATTAAGTCTAGTTTACTCATATCCAAT